TATCTTCGCTTTTCGTTTCTGTTGTTGCTATACAGTAATTACTCGTACTTACTGCAAAATAGACACATAATTTTAGCGATGCTGATTGTAACTGATAGTATGGTACGTTGCGTCTTTCGTGTTTTTTGGATTGCTTATGGTTCGCCTTTGCAACGCGCTCGCCGAGCTGCTCGATTCCTGCACAAAATCTACATGCATGCCTGTCTAACCCATTGTATTTGGAAATTGTTATAGGCTTACAGCCACCCTTTTTCACCTTCATTTTTTATGACCACCCTTTTTAGCACACTTTTTTTTTCTATAGGCACCTTTTTTTAATAATAATTAAATACAGCCCTGCCAAGCCAAGTTCGGACACTTTTCCCAAAAAATTATCATAAGTCACCCGTCAAGAATTAAAATTGGTCAAGAATTAAAATCGGATCGGTCAGCGTATATGTCCAGTAACTTTTGCACTTAGGATTTTTACGCTGAAGGCTTTTCTCGAATTACAGCCAGATCGAAACCATAACCGACCAGCTTCGAAATGCGACTCGACACATCTGTTGTGGGATGCATCTCCCGATTCGTAATTCGTTTTAAAATTCGAAGCTTCTCAAGTCCTGGCTAGTTACTACTATAGTATTTGCCAACCATTTCTCTTGCGGATGGTGTCTAACACAGCCCGTTTACTACCAAGACGGCGTGACCTTTCTGTGGGCACCGTCGAAATTTAAGATGACCCCTTTCGGGCGGTCGCCGTACAACCGTGGGAGGTCTTAGGTGTCCATTCTTGATCAAATATTGTTTATAGATGACTGTGCGTATACTTTAGGTTTTCCGTTTCCACAAAAAACCCGATACGTTCCGTACTGACGAGTTTTGATATCATTCTATATTAACGTTTTTTGGTCACCGCTTTGTTGGATTTTTCTATCATTTGTCCGGCACTTGCATTTACCCACTTGTATGAGAGATATCTGTCCATTTGCTAAAATCATGGACCTTGATCCATGTTTCACCCATCGAAACAGTCAACATTAAATCTTCCAGATCTTTGTGCTATGCAACCGCGTTCTACGGCAGGTGTGTTATACGAGTAACATAGAAGTCTATGGGAGATGAACTTTGTTTTGAGGTCACGTCGAGGTTCGATCGCGCGGGGCTAGCTGAGTTGTTGAGCCGCAAGGAACACCCTTCGGATAGTTAAATAGTTTCGAAAAAGTTCTCTAAAAATTCAGCTTTGTGGTATTTCCAGAGGCGCACTTATAATCAACCTATAGCTAAAAACGACCAACGCCCCGCCCAATTAATCACCGCCTATCTGCTTAGTGACATGTTAAAAGATTTGAGTTCTGACATCACTAGATCCGCAATAAAAAGTTGCACTAGAAAAGTGTTTAAAGAAAAACATAGTGACGTACAAATGTTTCTTAATTTTATTTATGCAACTGTCCGAACTTGGCTTGGCAGGGCAGTAAATACACATTATTGTTCGTTTTATAGGGACCCTTTTAATTTTTTATCTATAAGAAATATAATGTGATGCAATTTCCATGATACTCGTATCATTTTGCATCCGAGCTGTTTATAATGAATTTGGTGACCTTCTCAGCAGGGCAAGCCTATGACAAAGAAAAACGTTCGGGCGTCAATGCGAATTTCGTTCAGCAGTTTTAGCATGATTTTATTCTGCAGCTGTGTTGGCAATATCGCAACATATATGTTGGCGATATTTTTTATGCTAGATGTTTACATCAAAAAAGCCTTTCGAGAAAAATGTAAGATAGTTAATTAACCGACGCAACTAGTAAAGTATAACAAGTTAACAACAGCGGAAAATTACACGCAACGGAATCTGATGGTTTTCGCAGTTTCGCAATTCGCAGTAGTTTCAACAAGTAAAAAGCCGTTGACGAATTACGTCAAATACTGTAGAACTGTATCTTCTCATCTTCCACAAATGTCACTTCAACGTTCCAATCTCCCGTCTATTTTGGCAGATAATTTTACTGAATCAAAGAGCGTTAAATTACAACGTTGGTATTAAATCGATGCGAGCTTTTGCAAACATTTTTACAACCAAATCAGGTGAACCATGTCCATCAAACGTAAGGTATATTTGCCAGCGAGTATGCAACTTATCGCATTTCTCGAATTCATCCCACCACCGTCCCTCAGGGTCCTTCAGATGAGATTTTATAAAAAATGATCGTCGAAGCTTCACTAGGTTGCAGGTCAGGTGTGTAAAAAGGGTCACTCTCTACTTTAACTATGCCCACAGTTACATCTCAAAGGTCACGTAGGTTGGGCTGTAAACGAACGATCTGAGATACAGTTCGCAAGATCCTTAAATCGCGAATGCTTCAAATTTATTTAGTTTAGATAAAGATGTCAATGGAATTTTGAAGCGAATTACAATTCGGAGGGATGCTCCCACGGTACATGGGTTGAACAGTATTTTGAAACTGGTCTGCTCTAGATTCGGATGCAATTCGAAACACGCTCTGAGCGTAAGGAACGATAGTCCATAAGATGGTAGATACATATGGCAATACTATAAAAATGTAATGAGCTAGTCATTTGTGATGGGTGACCTGTGGCAAAAAGTGAAGAAAGTGCCCAAACTTGGCGTGGCACCCCTGCACATGAATGTGATGCCATGCTTCCTTAAAAAACATCCGATGGCAGTAACAGCCGAAGCAGTCATCGTCGAATTTGCGCAAGAGTTTTCCTGGGCGGATGCGTGTACACAAGCAAAACTTATAGTAAAACATTTTCACGATAATCGTTGCAAGTACTTTTGGAAAGGGTCAGTAACTTCAATGCAAGGAGGACTGCTCGCAGTGGATAGCTTGGAAGACATCATTTCGAACGGCTTCCTATTGTTTCGTCCACCGTGCATTTTGTCCACCGTTCATTTTGCCCACCGCTCGTTCTGTCCACCGTACTTTTTGTATACGAGTAAACTGTAAGCGTATTTCAGTGCAAATCGAATTCCTTAAGACGTGATGCAGTATGTAGCGTCAACGAGTTCGATTTATGCGGCCCACAGCGCACACTGAACTGCAATTGCAAACGATAGCTTACTGTACACTACAGATACTACCCGTATGGTCGTTTAAGTGAAACACTATGGTACGTGAATGGGCGATGGTCGTTTAAGTGAAACACTCGAAATAACATTTTCCACAAACCGATTTTCTTTCGGATTACTCTACAGAGTACTTGAAATTTTCAAAAAACCTTGAACCGTTTTCTTGCAAACGAGACGTAAAGAAATCAGTGACGAAAGCGCTTTAGCCACGCCACGAGTGCCACTGCACTACGCTCAAATATTTGCAGTCACCGCCATCCCTGGGCGGCTGTACCATCGCCGGGTAAGATGTCTATTTAAATTAAAACGAATACAGTTTGAAGACACCAACTACAAGCAAACGAAGAAAAAAATTCAATTGCACATAAATATTTATCTGAACTGAATTAACCGCCGCATGGCGGTGACTGCAAATATTTGAGCGTAGTGCATTGGCACTCGTGGTGTGGTTAAAGCGCTTTCGTCACTGATTTCTTTATGTCTCATTTGCAAGAAAAGGAATCAAGCTTTCTTAATAATTTCAAGTACTCTGTAAAGGCCCGAAAGGGTACATCCGTTTTAATCGGAAGAGGAAAAAATCCGAAAGAAAATCGGTTTGTGGAAAATGTTATTTCATGTGTTTCACTTAAACGACTATCGCCCATTCACTTACCATAGTGTTTCACTTAAACGACCATACGAGTAGTATATTAGTGTCCTAAATCGTAATGGCTTAAGGGAAACATTAGAAAACATAAAAGACCTAAGAAAACACAGGAAAACGAAAAGACCGGCGCAGATATAAGAAAACGAAGGAAAACATCAGAAAAGGAAAACATCAGTCATAAAGAAACCTAAGAAACTAAAGTTGGAGAACATAAGAAAAACCATAAGAAAACATCATCATGCATAGAAATTTTTAGAAGAACAGATCAATAAAGTTTAGTGTAGTAAAATCAGTCAATTAAATTGTAAGACACGCTTAAGCGGATGGCGACGGAATGAATGGTGGACAAAATGAATGGCTTGCACAAAGGTCATTTTTAAGCTAGCGGCGATATGTTTGCTGTATGTTACTTGTTAGTAGAAAAAGTATCAATAGGGTGCCCAATTTATGTACTGTTACTACTGTATGTGCCCGGACCGTTTCACTTTCCTGCCGTACCTAACTTCCAAAACCTTTCTCACTTATTTTATGACAACATGTAGCCAAAACAAATATCTTGCATACATTGGCGTAAAAACAGTTTGTCTGCGCAGTATCTGTTTGAATATGTGCAAACCGGGGTAGGTTTCCACATCTGGCTCTTGGCAGTTTACAGTTTTGTACACAACGGCCTGCACAGTATATAATTCTAAAACAACTATCCATCCGTTGCTTAACCGATGCGAACTGTGCACTGCGTAATAACCTTTCGCCGCAAAGGTTGTGTGCGGATGTACATCCCGTAAACTGGTTCTAAAGCAACTATCCATGCGTTGTCCAGGTACACTATTGTACTTACCCGTGTACACTACAGTTTTGATTGTGACGGCCATTGTCATGGAAACTAAACGTGCAGCTGAAATAAATCAGCACGACTGCATCTAGTGTTCCTAGCATCCATTACGAGTACTTAATAAATACACTTAAAATAATAACTTGCGATTCAAGGGGAGGATCGGAAGTGATGTTACTGGTTACAAGTACTGAACCGCCGTACAAGATGCTCATCAAAACAGGTTCAAACTAAAGCCACAGGTATTTAAATTGAAGAATACGAGCTTATCCTACCATTAACAAGTCGACAACAAAAAAAGCAAACGCTATAGCTTTTATGAGAACTTCTCGAAAATTACGATAAAAGCGTAAAATACAGTGAAAGGGAAAGCAGATCACGACCATCTTCTCCTTAATCTAATTGTTATACAACGTTGGAGGAAAAAGTTATCACGGAATCGACTTAGTAAAGTAGGTTTCTTTCCTCAAATCAGGTGCTTGCAACTACAAGTAAGTTACTAAAAACGTGCGTTAGGGCGAAGAATGTTGGCAGCTTTCACGTTTATGGCAAATTTTGTACTACTAGTAGTAGTAGAGCAAAACTGGGACCATACAGTCTGAATTAGAATATGTTCTGCGAACAAAGTAGGTAAAGCGACTATGAAGAGACCCCCGGCCCCCAAGGGGCCATTCAAATTTCAGGAAGGGTAAAAAAAACAATTTTTTTTATTTCCGCGATATTGTGTTTTTATTGGTGGAATTCCATTTCCAGGCAACAATACCAGTACAAAGTACTGCAGTTCCAATAAAAACCGTTGCCCCGAGACACTTCGTACGAAAACTCTCTACTGTACGAGTAGTCTTTTAGCTTTCTACAGATACTTACAGTCTTACACGAACAGACGCAGACAAGCATATCAGAAATGCTGGCAATCAGTGCATGCAGGATATTAGCGAGCAGTAAATAGGTGTAAGTATACGCAGAATCGATAGGGTATTATGCGAAATACAGAATATAATTATCTTCGCTACGCAGGTTACATAATGTGATTTTTTTTAATTCGATTATTCACTGATGGGCGCTGTATCGGTTGCTTATTTACTTCATTCTTCTTCTATGTGTAATCAGGGCTATTTAAAACGCGAAGATTTCCCGTCACAATGAAGTCAGAGATGTTATTCATCGCGCGTGTGGTTCGGCCTGCATCCCTTCAGTTCTGGAACCACCAGGCCTGTACCGCGACACTCTGAAACGACCGGACGGCATGACCTCGGTCCCCTTCAGCCAAGGCAAAGCTTGGGTTTGGGACGTCACTTGCCCGGACACCATGGCCACTTCCTACATCGCCAAGACGTCCCAGGAGGCCGGGGCTGCCGCCATGATGGCAGAGGCGAAGAAAAACAATAAGCACGGATATTTACGCGATAATTTCAATTTCTCTGCTTTGGTTTTTGAAACAATGGGCGTGTGGAGTAAAGAAGCGAAGTGTAAGATGTCTACTCTCGGTAAGATGCTTTTTGAGAGGACACAGGAGAAACGGTCCACTCAGTTTCTGAAGCAGAGAATCAGTGTTGCTTTAATGCGAGGTAACGCTGCGTGTGTTCAGGAAACGTTTTGTATCGGTAAGAGACTGGATGAAGTGTACTATGTGTTGAAGTGATGAGAACTGCGTAATTTTGAGTTTAACCAATGTTAAGTTGAATGACCCAATAAATCTGCTTTATTTAAAACGCTTTATGTCGGCATGTAGTCACGTTTCATTGTGAAAAATGACGATTACTAATGCCGAGCCGCTTAGTCCTCCAAGCTTAAGCACAAATCTTGGAGTTAAACAGTCATATGACTAAAACGTAAAAGCTTTTTCGCAACTGCAGGTAGCAGGAACATGGTACGCCTACGGCAACTGGTATCCGGGTATCGATCCCACCGATATGGAAAGTCCACTGAGCAATGATGTCAACTTTTATCGCATCCTGGGCAAAGGCTATTTCCCCACGACCACAATACCAGCGGCCATTATGGTCCAGGAGCAGACATTTTACTACAATGCTTCAGACATGACATGCCGCTCTAATCGCGAAATATGTTATCTGACCACGGACGGACGCCAAATTGGTTTGTACTTTTTCCCACCGGACCTATCCAGAACTAACACCGAAGCCGCCGGTACATTTTAATCGAACTTGTATAAAACACACTGCATTCGTTGTGCACAATCTTTGATTTTATAGTGCTGCCGTTGCGGCGAGCACCTTATACCGTTTTGTTGGGATAGGTGTGGATAATTCGATTGTATTGGCGACCGACTACGACTCGTACATCCTTTTCTACCAATGTTTCGGAACCAACAGCACTTCGGGCTTGTTCGGTTATCCCGATATCTACCTCAACACAAGGAAGAAGCCCCAGGATGTCACCGGCAGTGAACTGGACAAGATAACCGCAGCGGTCAATGCTGCTCTGAAGTCTTACTGTCTGGATATCAGCGCTTTTGTTGTCGTAGCATGGGACAACACGAAACCTGATTGTGCTCGAGCGGCACCTTCGCCTTGTTACACAAGCGTTGCTAAAGCTTTCAACGATATTATAGAGACATCTGCAGACCCGCAGTCATAATTAAGATTTCCAGATAGTACTGTCAAGCCTTAAAAACAATCTCTCGCTCATGGTTTTCTCTTGCAGCCATGATTTACAATTTTAGAATGCAGCGCAAACGTTTACACAATTTCTGTGTATCTTTCGAGCAGCATCAGTAAAAGTTAAAGACAACTATAGCTCTTGAGCTTACAAGCAGTGCGAAAAGTGTCTTTTTAAGCTGTCGATTAGAAAACGCAATGATTTTTACAAAGCACCCGTTCGCAGGAGATCAACACGGTCACCGAACCAACGTAGATTAGCCGTAAGCGCTTTGCGTTTTAACTTTTAAAGCACTAACTAATGAAAAAAATTTAAGTTATTTACAGTATTTAGTAGCAATTATTTGGCAAATTGCAATCGGTTGATCAACATTTAGTGTCTACGCATTAAGCAGCGCCCGAGCTCCAATAAACATATGCTGTTCTACTTTCATTTCATCCCGATTATTTTCGTACGAGGCGTGTGTCCCTTACTTAGATAGAGCACATTTACCTTACCATACTTAGATAACTGTGCCCGTGTTGTGCACTCAATGTGCACATCTGTCAACCACCAGAGGTGGCAACGCTAGAACCAAATTTGAAAAATGTGTTGATTCAGCCGTTGATAATTTCAGGTGCTCACATCTCGTGAATGAGGGAACAAAACTGTTCAAGCAATATCTCAAAGATGCAGAAAAATTCACAAGATTTTTGATACCAAGTAATATGGGATTTAGAGCAACTGAAACAAGTTGTAGCCTTTTTGAGTTTCTCGTAGACACACTATAGGACCTCTTCGTGGACCCCTTCAACGTAATACTCACTATGCTAAGTCTATGGGAAACAGAAATGGCTCTAATTTATTTCATCCGCTCTAAATCCTGACTTACTTGGTATCAAAAAACTTATGAATTTTTTCCACATCTTTTGAGATATTGCATGAACAGTTTTGTTCCCACATTCACGAGATGTGAGCAATTGAAGTTATCAACGGCTGATTCAACAGATTTTTCAAATTCTCCCTGACGTTGCCATCTCTGGGTGGTTGACAGCGCTGCACAACACGGGCACAGTTATCTTAGTATGGTAAGGTAAATGTGCTCTATCTAAGCAAGGGACACACGCCTCGTATAGAATCTACTAGATAGTGTGCATAGGGGCTGCTTTGGCATTGAAGTTTTGCGTCATTTTGTTCCGCTAATTATCATGTACCGCGCACTGGGTCTTTTCTCATCCAAAAGGTCGCTGAAGATTTATGGAATTACGGACAAAACCAGTTTTCCTCGACCCTATCTATGCTTGAAAGATTAACAATACGCAGATAGACGCTTCCACCACAATTTTCAGTCAATGACAGCGCGCTCGAATTTTTATCAAATAAAACTTATCGTTTTACCGTAACTGTCATGCAGATGATTTTGCCAGGGATGAAAACCGTATGCGGAAGTAGTCACGAACGGCGCAGTCGCTCGTATTCCCTTAGCCTAAATATCTTAACAAAGGGTCAACTTTTGTCGCTACTGCTAGAAGTGGTCAAGGGCGGCACGTTTGTAGCCATCAGACGCCAGTCAGTCCTGACACGCCCAATGGAAGAAGTCAAGCGCGTGGGCATGGCATGTGTACGCCTGTAACCGACCAAAACGTCCGGACGACCAAGACGTCCGGCGGACGTTTTAGTCGTTAAACCGACCAAATCGTCCGGGGACCAAAAAAACGTCCGCCGTAAATTTTGCCCACTCAACAATTTTTGCATTCTCGATGTGACCTGAAGTTCCTGAGAGCGTCTCAGCCCGGACACTTTGCTCGGAGCACTAGTGCAGCCCGGACACTTTGGTCGGAGCACTATTTCATCACGGACACTTTGGTCGGAGCACAATTTGGAGCCGGACACTTTGGTCGGAGCACTATTTCAGCCCGGACACTTTGGTCGGAGCACTATTTCAGCCCGGACACTTTGGTCGGAGCACTAATTCAGCCCGGACACTTTGGTCGGAGCACTAATTCAGCTCGGACACTTTGGTCGGAGCACTATTTCAGCCCGGACACTTTGGTCGGAGCACTATTTCAGCCCGGACACTTTGGTCGGAGCACTAATTCATCACGGGCACTTTGATCGGAGCACCATATTGACCCGGACACTTTGGTCCGAGCACTATTTCAGCCCGGACACTTTGGTCGAAGCACTATATTGACCCGGACACTTTGGTCGGAGCACTAATTCAGCCCGGACACTTTGGTCTGAGCACTATTTCATCAAGGACATTTTGGTCAGAGCACAATTTGGAGCCGGACACTTTGATCGGAGCACTATATTGACACGGACACTTTGGTCGGAGCACTATTTCAGCCCGGACACTTTGGTCGGAGCACTATTTCAGCCCGGACACTTTGGTCGGAGCACTAATTCAGCCCGGACACTTTGGTCGGAGCACTATTTCAGCCCGGACACTTTGGTCGGAGCACTATTTCAGCCCGGACACTTTGGTCGGAGCACTATATTTGCCCGAACACTTTGGTCGTAGCACTATTTCAGCCCGGACACTTTGGTCGGAGCACTAATTCAGCCCGGACACTTTGGTCGGAGCACTAATTCAGCTCGGACACTTTGGTCGGAGCACTATTTCAGCCCGGACACTTTGGTCGGAGCACTAATTCAGCTCGGACACTTTGGTCGGAGCACTAATTCAGCTCGAAAACATTTTGGTCGGAGCACTATATTGACCCGGACACTTTGGTCGGAGCACTAATTCCGCCCTGACACTTTGGTCTGAGCACTATTTCATCACGGACACTTTGGTCGGAGCACTATTTCAGCCCGGACACTTTGGTCGGAGCACTATTTCAGCCCCGACACTTTGGTCGGAGCACTAGTTCAGCCCGGACACTTTGGTCGGAGCACTAATTCAGCTCGGACACTTTGGTCGGAGCACTATTTTAGCCCGAACACTTTGGTCGGAGCACTAATTCAGCCCAAACACTTTGGTCAGAGCATTATTTTAGCTCGGACACTTTGGTCGGAGCACTAATTCAGCCCGGACACTTTGGTCTGAGCACTATTTCATCACGGACACTTTGGTCGGAGCACAATTTGGAGCCGGACACTTTGATCGGAGCACTATATTGGCCCGGGCACTTTGGTCGGAGCACTATTTCAGCCCGGACACTTTGGTCGGAGCACTAATTCAGCCCGGACACTTTGGTCGGAGCACTAATTCAGCTCGGAAACTTTGGTCGGAGCACTATTTCAGCCCGGACTCTTTGGGCGTAGCACTATTTCAGCCCGTACACTTTGGGCGGAGCACTATATTGACCCAGACACTTTGGTCGGAGCATTATTTGGAGCCGGAGACTTTGGTCAGAGCACTATTTCCGCCCGGACACTTTTGTCGGAGCACTCTTTCAGCCCAAACAGTTTGGTCGGAGCACTATTTTAGCCCGGACACTTTGGTCGGGGCACTACAGTCATTCATCACCCGCCTGAACGAGTGTGCTTTTTTTCAAAGTACACTCTTTGCTGATTGTGGTAGAAGAACTGAAATGTATGCTCTAATCAACCATGCTTTGATACTTTTCTTTACCGTATGGACGGTATGATTAAGTGCAAGCTTTCGGTCAGCCTAAATACTACACAAACTCACCGTATAATGGTTGACTTGTAAAGGCTGCCTTTCATAGCTGTTTAAAATAACCGGTTGACCGCGCGCAAACTTGCGCGCGGAACAAATGAGTTACAGATAAATTACTTTATTGAAAGGCTGTTAAGGCTGGTTTCATATGATGCTTATCGAAGTTACCTTGATGATTACTCAGTTAGTAACGCGCTCATTACCTTTTCCACTGGCGGGCGTCATTTACGCACCAGCTAACTACTTACATGGACTTCTTTTATTTATTTTAAAATGATCAATTCTTGCAGAACTGGCTGATACACTGAAGAAAAGAAAACTTCCTTTTGCTTGACTGCTACTCTGCGAACTTTCCTCGTGCAGCAGCTTGGCTTCGCCTTATGTTCCTATCACTTATTTACTACCAAAATTCAAAGATACCTTTTTTCGTGAAAAAACCGTTTGAAGCAGTGACGCTGGAATCATCGGAGTAAGGTTAGTTGCGCTCTTCCATTTTATTCCCAAAACATCTTGCCGGTTCTCAAGAGTAGCATTCCTCAGCAAGCATTTATTATTATTCTTCGAAAATCGACAATTCTTAGCGTGGACTTTAAAGTTCAAGCGTTATGTAATTAAAGCGTTAACCAAGTTCATTTCAATATTCATGTTTCTCGTAAATCGCTATGTTTTTAGTCCACAAACACGAACAAAAACTTATAAAAAACGTGGAACGATGTACATATAGAACATTTAACAGTAGATCTGTAGGAGTACTCTTAAGTCTCCACAAAGTGGGACTCCAAAATTTGGAGCCCAAATCGGTTCAGATTGCGATTCGATAAGAATAGCACGCAATGGCTTAGACTTCACATAGGCCTGTTGTATTTTTAGCCTATGCATTTTACGCCATTGACAGGGCGATTCGACAAACGGTGGAACATGGTGGTATCAGCAAACTATTCTAAATGCATAAACTACCGCAACAAAAAAACGGTAGTACGTTTGTCTGCGACCGTTAAGCGTGGAAATATTGATACCGTGCCAGTGCCGTTGTATTAACCTTCCGTATAACTGTTGCTCTTTTTTGAGCAAATCAGTGCAAAATGACGAATGCTGATTAAAGTTAACTGTGTTTTGTTGATAAAGTTAAATATTTGTCGAAAGTAACGCTTGTTGAATCGCCCCAAAGGGTTGTCGCATCGCCCGGCGAAGAACAATTAACACGTAACCAGAGTTGCGCAACCGGATTCACTGATGGATCCAGGTTTGTCTGAATCGCCCTACGTACCGTCCAAATCACAAATTTTTCTGATACACAACGCTGCCTTCTACATAAGTAACAAGCAGCCACCCGCCATTCCGCAGTTACTCGAAGCTTGCCAGTTGCCGGTTGTCACCAAAAGGTTCGCGAATCTCACTTGGAACACTTCTTTAATAGGTTCCCCTAGTTTTTTGTGCGTTCAGTTGTCAATATTATTTAAACCTTTCTCGAGCATATGTTTTTGTTATCTAAAAGCCAACGCTATACACAAAGGTTTCTAGAAGCATA